AGCACAGACATTGCTGACCAGTGGTCGGGTCTGGAGGAGGCAGCCACTCTGCCGTGTAGGAGAAGCTCAGAGCTCCCCATCCTGTGGGGACACCTGTGGTCCTCAAGGAACGCATAGCGAACACGTAGGGTACTCTGATGATTTCCTAATCCACTTTTCTTCCTCAGCATTCATAGGGTACTTTTACTTTCCTGAGATTTGGAAACTTCTCAGATGAACTGAGCCTTTGTTTATTGCTTTTGCCTGATTATCTCAGCTTTGTCAATCAACAGTGGCAGCTGTTCATCTCAGGAGATGTAACTTCCCTGTCTCACTGATGGAGTCTCTTCTGAACCCATTAGTTATCTCAGATAGGTGCCAGTATTGCGTGTGAATGAGCTCCAGTTGAGAGCCACACTCACCGTACAAAATTTTTAAAATTCAGAAGAATCCAAGGAAGAAGAAAAAATCCCTCATAATTCCATGACTTAGAAAAAACAAGGTATATCTTTTCCCCATCTCTTTTATTGTTCTTCATGAGTTTTTATCACCTTTTTTAAGCAGAAATGGTACCCACAGAAACACTCAAATCATGTAACCTACTTTTGACATTTGGTATAAGTGTGTTTCTAACTTAATAGGAATATTTAATAAAAATGACTTCTGGTGACCACTTAATGTGACAGAGCACTGCCCGCTCTGCTCCATCTTGGTACTTGTGACATGGTAGAAGGGACACCTAGAAGGTGGTGTGCCTCCCAGCCGTGCCGCTGCCCAGCGTGCAGTCTCCATTGGCACGTTACTGGTGTTTTAGTCAGCTGTCTCGCTGCTGCGACCAAAAGATCTGATGAACAATTTTAGGAGGAAAAGTCCATTTTACAGCTCATGGTTTCAGAGGTCTCAGTTCATTGACAGGTAGCTCCATTCCTTAGGCCTCAAGGTGAGGCAGAACATTGTGGCAGAGGAGTGGCAACAGAGAGCAGGTCAGGACATAAGATCAGGAAGCAAGGAACGAGCTCTGCTCAACCAGGACAAAATACAGAGCACAAAGGCAGGCTCCCCCAGGGACCCACCGCCCCCAGCCACACACCACCTGCCTACAGTTACAACCCAGTTAGTCCCTGTCAGAGGATTAATGCTCTGATTAGGTTAATATTCTCGTAACCCAGTTATTTCACCTCTGAACTTTCTTGCCTTTTTTCATACATGAGCTTATGGGGGACACCAGTATTTAAATAATAACATTCCACCCCTGGCCTCACAAAGCTTATTTCCATTTTCAATGGCAAAATACATTTAGTCCATTTCCAAGAGTCCCAGTGATCTCACAGTTTTAGCAGTGCCTAAAAGTTGAAGTCCAAAGTCTCCTCTGAGACTCAAGGCATACTCTCAGCATGAGCCCCTATAAAAATCAAATATGTCCAGTATGTAAAGGCACAGAGTAAACATTTCCATTCCACATGGGAGAAATAGGAACACAGAAAGCAGGGATGGGAGGAGAGCAAGACTGACATGGAACTGGGTGAGCAAGTCCTGTAGCTTTGTGTCCAGCATCTAGGGCACGTGGCATCCTGATGTCCTTTCCAAAGGGCTCATGTAGCTCTGCCCCTGTGGCTTTGCTGGTGGCAGCCCACGTGGCCTTATTTCTGCTCAATTCCTGCAGATGGCCTTGGCAGACATTCCCCAACACTGCCATGTCTTAATCTTGGTGTCTCCAGTGCCTCCTTGGCTTCCTCCTCACATCTCCATGCGTTGCCCTCTGGGGGCAGCCCGCAGGGCCTCCACGGCTGCGGCACTTTGCCTAGCCTCCCAGGCCTTCCTTTGAAATCTCCATGGCAGCCTCCACGACGCCCTAACTCCAGCATCCTGCATTCCTGCAGAGCCAGCACCCCATCATCCACCACCAGGATACCAGGTTGATGCCAGGGTCCACCACCCCCTGGAGCAGTAGCCAGCTTCCAGGGACTGTGGCTGCAGCAGTCTCTGAGTGCCTGGGTGACTGGTGAATCAAGTTACTCGGCTGCCCTTGGCAAGCAGGGTGTCCTGTCAGTCTAGTCTCAAAAGGCTTTGTCGTTTACACCCTTGCGCCTGAAATGGGTGTGTTCTTGCCAGTTTTTGAGATGCCCTCAGACCATCCTTCTTATTGTCTCTGGGCAGTCTGTAGAGTTTCTTTAGTGGCGTTGATGTCATTAACAACCAGGATTCCTTAGCCCCAGTTTTGCTCCGTTTTCTGACAGAACTCCAAGTTTTTCAGATCTATCTGCTTTGCTTTCCTCTCCTGATTATCACAGTGAACTTGGCTAAAAGCCATCACTCCCTGAATACTATGCTGCCTAGAAATTTCTTCTGCTGGGGTTGTGGCTCAGCGGTAGAGCGCTCTCCTAGCACGTGCTAGGTGCTGGGTTCGATCCTCAGCACCACATAAAAATAAATAAAGGTGTTGTGTCCAACTATAACTAAAAAATAAAATATTAAAAAAAAAAAGTCCATTGCCTAAATTCAGCCTCATAGAAAGTCTCGGATACAGGCAAAATGTAGACGATTTCTTAGCCAGAATGTAACATGGATGGTTTCTAGTCCAATTTCTAAAGTCCTCCTTCTCCTGAAACCTTAGGAGCACCATGATCACTGTCCACAGTCCTGTTGGCATTCTGGTCTTCTGATCACCCCCCAGAATTGCCCATTAATCTCTGCTTACAACAATCTAAAGCTTTTTCAGCTTCCATCTCTAAATGTCTCAAAATTCCTCCCACAAAATCAAATAAGCTCCCAAAACTTCTAAGCCACATGGTCAGTTACAGTAATGATCCCACTTCTCAGTACCAGTTTCTGTTTTAGTCTGCTTTTTGCTCCTATGACCAAAATACCTGACAAGAACAACTAGAGGAGGAGAAGTTTATGTGGCAGCTCAAGTTTCAGAGATCTTAATCCATAGATGGCCCACTCTGCTCCTCAGGGCCCCGGGTGAGGCAGAACATTATGGGGTAGAAGAAAGCAGCTCAGACAGTGCACCAGGAGGTAGAGAGAGAGAGAGCTCTGCTCAACAGGAACAAAATATAACCCCAAAGGCACATCCCCAGGGACCCACCTCCTCCAGGCACCTGCTTGCCTTCTGTTCCACCCAGTTAATCCTAGGGGGGCTTAGTGCACTGATGAGGTTAAGACTCTCATAACCCAGTCAGCTGGAGTGGTGCCTCTGAGCCTTGTATCCTGATCTGTGAAACAGTGATGATGGTAACAGTTTTGAAGTGTGAAAAACAGCGCTTAGTGTAAGATCAGAAACCATTAGGAAGATGTATCAGGAACTTAGAAGCACTTTTACGTTGTGCCTATGCTGTCAAACTCAGCCTGCAAGAGACAGATAGCAGGGTGTTCTGGCCACTGAAGCATCAAAGAACTCTGGCTTCTTTCTTAAAGCGCTTGGCTCAGCGCTTTACACCCGTCTACAAACCTGTGGATGCAGAGGTTAGCAGATTCCATGGGGTGAAATTTGAGTCTTGATTCTTTATGTGGAAAGGAGAGAAAATAGAAATGTTAACAGAGAAAAGTGTCACAGTTTATCTTATACGTAATCTGATTACTTGGAAAATAGAATTTCTTTGTAGCTCCCTGGGAACTGATTTTTTTTTTTTTTTATGTATCTTTGGCTAGTTATCAGAACAGAAAATAGACTTATGACATATTGCCTGGATAAAGTACGTGTTAGTCCAAGTACTTCATAGTTTCCCTTAAAGATAGTTTCCATCTTATGGGATTTCCATCTTCTTGGTCAATCCTTCTTTTCTCAAAGAACAGTAATAGCCATTTCCCACAGTTCCGTGGGAAAGGGTGGCTGAGTGTGAAGGCATTTTTAGTGATGAGATTTAAAATGCATGTTAGTACCCAACATGCACAAGGCCCTGGGTTCATTGCCCGTAACTGCAATAGAAATGTGCACGTGCAGTTTCTATGTGTTGTGTGTACATGTGTATACATGTGTACATGTAATTTACAGTACTAATGAGAAGGACTGTAAGGAAGAGGAGTGTGAAGATAGAGAGAGGCTTGGGTCTCACCTTCACAAGGTACAGCCAGCATTTGCCACTTGTTCAGATTTCAGCCTGAATTTGGAGCCATACTGGAAGATATTGACCAAAAGTTTGCGGTTTACAATTCCCATGTCCTGGAGGGACAATCCAAGTGTATTCCTTCTGGGCCAATTTTGTTCATCTTTGTCTTTCAGGGATTTTGACAGTTGCATCAGGTTGTCAGAGTTACTGGCAGAAGTTGCTATCTGCTTTTCAGGACTGTAAGATTTATAGTGACGTGCTCTCTTTGGATATATGACACATTGACATTTAAGAGAAAATGCAAACACAAAATACATTTTGCGTCCTCTTTTCTTGGTGGGTTTCTAATTCCTGATCCTTTTGTGCCCCTCCTTAACCCCCTAGTAGGGTGTCTATAGGCCAGCGGGCTGTAACAGTGTAATCAGCCAGATTAGCACTTGAACTCAACCTCTCAGTAGCCTGGTGACCTGAAACAGATTACTTCACACTGAGTTTTCCTTTTATCTGCTCAAACATGGTGACGGGTCCTCCTGCCAGGTAGCTGGGAAGCCTTGCAGCGCTCCATGCTTGGTGGAGGGAGCCCTGGTAGCAGGGATGGATGACATGGCAGTGTGGCCCAGATCCTGTTGCCCAGTAGAACTGCCCATGGTTTTAGGATAGTGGAAAACTTAAGAACCTCCTGAGGCCTCCCTGTCTCTAATTCAGTGTGTCTGTTCCACATGCTGCACGCACGACTAGAGTCCTGAGCTCGTGCACTGTGGTGAACACTGCCAAAGCAGGTCAGTTCTCTCAGTGGACTTCTCAGTTACCATGATGTACTCCATGCCTTTGGCACAGAGTGCATCCATGCAAGTGTGACTAAGGATGATGTTAACCAAGAAAAACCAAGACAAGATGAAAATGCCAAGCCATTTAAACAGAATTGCAGAAGGTGTTTTTTATTTCTTTTTAAATTTGTTTTTGTTTCCTTAGCACCTTGATTTTCCCATATCTGATTCGAGGAGGAAAGCCCACACTGCTGTATTCATGGGCGATGGCGTTTGTTTTCTGTACCTATAATGGCTACTTGCAAAGCAGATACTTGAGCCAATATGCAGTGTATGCGGACGACTGGGTCACCCAGCCCCGTTTTCTAACAGGTGAGCATCCAGGAGATCAGCTCTACCTCCCTTTTCACCAGTGAACCCCCAAGGGAGAGGGTAGCAGGGAGTCCAAAGCAGCCAGAGGGCAAGTCAGGCTACCCCAGAGCCACTCGAGGGTAGGAAGGGACGCGTACGCAGGACACCTGCCCCCACAGGCACTGAAGCACAGGTGTTCCACAGAATGAGGACCCATAGGGAGCAGGAAGCTGGTGGTGAGTAACAGACAGACTGGGAGACCTGGGGGCTGGCTGACTGTGTAACCTAACCCAGCCCTTGACTGTTTCTCCTGTCACATGAGATGCAGTCAGACTGGGTTACCTTCCAACAGTGCAGGTAGACTTTTATGAGTATTCTAGCTTAAGCCAACTTTTGGGTTGGGAAGTTTGAATTTTTAAAATGTATACCAACTAATATGAATTAATATGCATTTTAGAATTTTTCAATTTCTAATTTTAGCTTTATAAATTCTGAGCAAAAGTGAAAAAGAAAGCATTAGCAATCAAAAATCTTTGCAAGAGCAGGGGCAATGCTTAGTCTCAGGGTCTTGTATGGAAGGGAGCTTTTCCAGCGCTTATTTAGCATGTCCTGGAGCATTTAGAAGTGGTAACAGGCCAGGTGCCATCACCCCATGGCGGCTGCCACAAGCCTTCACTCAGCCCATCAGATTTTCAAACTTCACCTGATTACATTTTGATTTCTCTCTGTGTATGAATTTATAATAATATAAAAACTAATGCTCACATAATTCCTTGTTGCCGACAAAGCACCTTCACATTTCTCAGTCTTATTTTTTCAAAGAATTAAAATTTATTCCAAGGGCAGTGCCCTCATTGTCCTGAGAATTGCACAAGGAGAAGGCCATGTCCTCCTCCGGAAGGTGAAGTTTGGATGAGAAGTTACAGGATCCTCTACCCCCAGGGATAGGGGCCTCCATGGTAGGCTGGACTTCACCACATGGGTCCTATGGCACTATGAACTTCTGATCTACCTGCTTCGCGATTACCTTATTTTCTCCTGCACCAACAGTCAGAAGAAAAGAACAGGCTTTTGGGATCTGTGGGGAATACACTCGGTGCCTCCCCACCTTCCTCCAAGGCAGACACGGCCAAGAGGTTAGCAGCTGGTCCAGGCCTCTGTCTAGTAAATGGCCGAGCAGTGACTTCAACCACCCTCCCTGCAGTGGCCTGAGAATGGGCAGGAAAGAATGAAAGGAAGGGGAATTTCTTTTCTTAACAGAAAAACAGGTTTTTAAATACTTAGTTAAGATTCTTGTAGGAATCGTTTTTATGATGAATTGTTTGGGTACTTTTGACCAACAACAAAAGCAAAACAATCCTCCTGACCCGTGAATTTAAGGATCATTTAAAGTAGCTCTGCACACAGATCAGGTCACCTGAAGGCACCTTTGAGGCTGGTCTACAAACTGAGACACTGATCAGTCGTAGACAAACCCTTCGATTTCTCTACCACTAAACAGAAGAATTTGAAAATGAAAACAAAATGTGTCAGTGGGGGACAAACTAGGTTATCTTCTTTTGTATATGTATATTTTCACAAAATTATTTTTTGTAAGTAGCCTCATGAAATTACATGGATAATTAGTTATACTTGATAGTTACAATTAAGGGCTAATAAGTAATAATCAAATTCTAACAAGTTTTCTAGAACAATAGAAGTGGTTAACCTGAAGAATTTGTCACCTAAGTGCAATCATAGATTCTCAGAACAGTGTCATATACTTACAGATGGGATAGCACTGCACTGGGATGTGTGTGCCATTGTAGACCACGTGTACATTCAGGGAGGTTAAGGCAGGGGGAAGACTTCAGGGCAAAATGAGGAGGATTGAGAAGATATTTTGAAACAGTGTCTTTGAGGACAGGGATCAATAACAAGGGTGGCATCAGTCCACACTTAAGCAGATGTTTGGGGCCAGACGACCTTGCTGAAGTACTTTCTGTGTAAGGTGGGTGGCCACGGTGTGAGGCTGTGGTTGAGTCTTGTAGTTCTTGTTATCAGGCACACATGCGTGAGACTCCCTCCTCCATGACCTCCTGACTACTGACTACTTACTTTTGTTAGGACTTGACAAAAGTGACTCCATCCTGACTCTACAACTTTCTCAGATTTCATACAAAGATTTTGCGATCCCTACAAATGGAATTAAATGTTGGATGCACATAAGCAGTAGTCATCTTTCAGTTTAAGCAACAGAGAAATAAAGTAATCGTGGAATTGAGACAACAGGATTCTTCTAGACCCTTGTTATCAGTGTTGGAGAGCAGATCCCTCACAGCACAGCGGGCGGCAGCACTGCGGAGCTCACTGCCAGCACCGCAGTGTCTCATGCTAACAGTGGCCCTCGGAAGGGCTGCTGAGCTCTGCCAAGTCGGCCTGGGGTTCTTAAGTCTTGCAGTTCATTCATGGTAAGGATCTTGTGGGTTTTCTCTGTAGGTTTTGCCTTGTGGTTATTGGGCATGCTGATCAACATCCACTCAGATCACATCCTGAGGAACCTCAGAAAACCCGGGGAGACTGGATACCGGATTCCCAGGGGTGAGTGCTGAGGGGAGATGGTGTTTGGAAGTCACACTACATGATGCTCGGCCGTTTGGTTTCTGTGCTCTGGTAAATCGGGCACAGCGTGTGTTAGCTGCAAGTGTCCCAGTGCATGTCACTGTTCTGACTGTTTCATTAGAATAGTGGAAGAGGTGTCTCTGGCCAAGGGTATGGTTACTAAGTACAAAGAAACATCTGTGTTTGGAGACAGGGTGAGGAAGAACTTAGAGCTCACAGGAGCATCCGATGCTTCTGTGTCCAGCAATATGAAGAAATAGATTCCTTGTCAGACACTCTCCCTGAAAAAGACTTAGAATTTTGTGTGACCTTTTTTTAAAAAAATCTTTTAAAATGCATCAATGTAATATTAGAAAAAAAGAAAGTAATCAAGAGAGGACAAAGCCTAAGTGGATGCCAGAATCTACATAGCAGCCCACAGAATGTGTGAGAGCAGCCAGTCACGGTGAGGCACACCTATGATTCCAATGAGTCAGGAGGCTGAGATGGGAGGATCACAAGTTCAAAGCCAGCCTCAGCAACTTAGCCAGGCCCTAAGCACTTAGTGACATTCTATATAAAAGTAAAAAACAGAAAGGGCTGGGGAATGTAGCTCAGAGATAAAGTGCCCCTGGGTTGGGTCTTCAGTACCAAAAATGAAAAAAACAACGTGTAGGAACCCTGAGAACGCGTGGCCAACAGGCAGCCTTCCTGCTAGCCCAGGTCCCCAGCCCTACAGTGGTCTGAGAGCCTTAAGCCTTTAATTAAGGTCCATTTTGTCCTAGGGAAGTGGTGCACTCACACATGTGGCCATCAAAAGCCTATGACCCCCAGGGGACCTGCTTTCAACTCAGGCTCCAAAAGCAAACGCACCACCTTCCCCAGATCCAGGGGCAGACGCACTCAGAAGCTGCAGCACCACGAGGAGATTCAGCACTGTGAGGAAGAGCCTGGAAGGCCTACAGGACTCACACCTTAGAATTAATATGTGCAGATTATAAATCGAGGGTTGAGATGTTTTAGGAAGGCGGGGGAAGCACTAATGAGTAAGGAGTAAACCACTGTAAAAAAGGCTGAGCAGATGCAAAGAAACCAGGAGAGCTTCTAAAAGGAAAAGGGAAAAACATAGGTAAATATGCCTTAAACTGTGACCCAGACAGCCTGGAGTCGGCAGGACCAACCTCCAGAAACTGCAGTCCTGTTACAGAGGAAGCAGAGAAGAGAAGATCTCACGGGTCCTTGACTAGCTGCTGACGACCTGTGCAGCCTGGCAGAGAGAAGACTTCCTGTCTGAGTGCTGGGCTTGGGAGCAGAGAGCACCCGCATGTGGCTCTCTGAGGAGCCCTTCCCTGGAGGCGGCAGAGCCCGCTGGCCAGTGCCTTCCCTCCTCCCCTTGCACCCTACGTGCTGAACCCTTGATCCCAAATTCAGAAGTGGTGCACATACTCAGGAGGAGGTGCTCTGCGTCAGACTGAGATTGGACATGCCACAAGCCCCTGAGTCAGAATGAAAAGATGCTGGAAATGCCAGAAGCCATGCAGGTGGCCGACTTGAGAAACCTGGTGTCAGAGAGAGGTCATCCCCAGAGAAGGCAGAATCCCAGGGGAGGGTCCTGACCAGCCAGGCTGGTTGTAGAGAGGTCCAGAGGTGCCCTGGTTGCAGAGAAGCCCCGAACTTGCCCATGTACAGCTGCAGAGGTGCCACAAAAACTTCTCTGGCCCCTCCCTCTGTCTCCTGCTCCAGTGGCCAATTGATGTTCTAATCAGACATATTCGGACCTGGAGAACAGGAAAGCTAAAATCACGCCACCTTTGCAAACATTCTATAGTGAAAATACAGTTTCCGACATGATTACAAAATGTGAATGAAGCAATTGCAGGGGTGATGCCCGTTGATCAGAGAGCACCAGCAGAACCTGCTGTCCCCAGGCAAAGCTCATGACCTCTGCGCCTCAGTCCCTGCAGCCCAGCCTCCCTCCCGCATTGAGGAATAAGCCCTCCTCCTTGGGCTGCCTCTGGTCCCTGGCCAGCACTTTCTGGGCATCCACCGCAGCTCTGAGCACAGACGAGGCAGAGATGCAGAGACTGGGCTGCTTCTGACAGCAGGAGGTGCTGCAAGTCAGTAGGGGAGAGCAAGTGGTAACCCGTAAAACCTACAGAAGATATCACTTTAAGATTCTTTATTTCTAATCCTGAAATTAAGAGGCACCCGAAGAAAAGCAGAACAGCAAAAAAATAACAAAAACAAAACCCAGAGACCACAGAAAGGACTTAGAAGATAGAAGTGAAGAAACAGGATGAAAAGTGAGCTGTGTTCCGCGATGGCTGCAGAGGGTGGGAAGAGGGACCTGTCTGTCCTGTGCGTACTAGAGGATGGACAAGCTGAGGCATTGGGAGGAACACGTATGTTTAAAACTAACCGAAGAAAACTGTGTAAAGGAAACAAGCACACCTCTGAAAGAGCCCACAGTGTGGCAGGGAAGTCTTGTGCCAGGGGAAAGCCAGGGAGCAGGGGACAGAACCCCTGGGCTCTGGGAGCTCCTAGAATGAGGGCTTTGTAACTGATCACCTCCTTGCTCACGGAAATTCAGGAGGCTTCTCCATGTGACACAGTGGCAGTCTCTGACAGGCTGGTGTGCCACCTACAACTGCTCTCAGAAACACTCTCCAGACCTATTGATGGTAGTGTCATTGGCCAAGGCTAAAGGAGGGAGGGTACAGGGTGAACAGGTGAGTGGTTAAGAGCAAGTGCAGAGCACAGGTAGGATGCCCAAGTGTCCCATCATCAGAACATACAGGCTACACTAGGGCGGAGGACAAGTGCTGTGGGGTAGGCATGACAGCTGCAGTGTGCTGCCTTTAAACCGTCTGTGTGTGAAGGGCACACTTTTAGCAGATTGGCATCCATGGGTTTTTGGTTTTTGTTTTTTTGGTTTTTGTTTTTTGGTACCAGGGATTGAACCCAAGGGGACATTCAACCACTGAGCCACATCTCCAGCCATTTTTATATTTTATATAGAGACAACTCTTGCTGAGTTGCTTTGGGCCTCACTAAATTGCTGAGGCTGGCTTTGAACTCACCATCCTCCTGCCTCAGACTCCCAAACTGCTGGGATTACATGTGCTACTATGCCCAGCTATGGGGCTTTTAAAAATATATATTCTTTAGTTGTCAGTGGACCTTGATTTTATTATTTATTTATTTGTAGGTGGTACTGAGAATTGAATCCAGTGCCTCACACAGGCTAGGCAAGTGCTCTATCACTGAGCTACACCCCCCCAGCCCCATATATGGGGTTTTGTTTTGTTTTGTTTTAGCTAATTGTATATATTGTTATCTATAGGGAAAGGTCACTGATGAAAATGTGGACGGAGATGTCTGGTCCCATTCTCCCCTCTAGCCCTGGCCTGGGCTGGCTGCCTTAGGTGAGGTAGCTTTTACAGAGGGGGTGCCAAGGCCCAACCACCTCTGGGATTTAGCTGCCGATTAGAGACATACAATTATGACAAAACTATGTAGAAAATGGAGGCAGTTACAGAAATAGGTAAATAAGAAAGTGTGATGGCCCTGATCTCCAGAGCTCAGAGGGAAAACAGCTACGCCTCTGCAGACACTCATGCCACCCTGGTTTTAGACAAGCGTGTTACATTTTCATGTATTGTGTTTGATAAGTTTACATTTTAATTATCACAAGAGACTAGTGAATAGACATTGGCATTATTTTAAAATTACGTATTCAAGCTTACCAAAAAGTAAAGAGCACAGTGTTACCAACTTACGCCCTCACTGCCTTCCTCGAGTAAGAATTGTCAAAGCATTTTTCTGTCTCAGCTCAGCAAGACCCATTCCTCTTTCGAAGGAATGGACTGTCCCTGGCCAGGCCCTGTACATTCAGTCGTTGCGAGCCCAGAGATGACGGCTCCACACAGCACTGGAGTTTCTGTTGACTTTCAGTGTGATCAAATTTTTCAGTTTTTTTTTTTACACATTTTTATTGGTGCTTATAGTTGTACCTATCATAGGCTTTGTTGTTACATATTCGTACATGCACACAATAGAACCATATAATTTGGGCAATATCACTCCCCAGCACCTCTCCCTCTCTTCCTCCCTCCTACCCCTTAGCCCCTTTCCTCTACTGATTTTCCCGACATCTACACCCATCTTTCTTTTCCTTTTCCTTCTCTAGCTTCCACATATGAGAGAAAGCATACGACCCTTGACCTTCTGAGTTTGACTTATTTTGCTTAACATGATGGTCTCTATTTTCCTGCAAATGCCATAATTTCAGTTTTCTTTACAGCTGAATAAAGCTCCATTGGTGATCCCATTTTTTAAAGGAAATTCTACCCATGGCTGCTTCACAGCCTGGGAGACAGTGGTGAGCAAGAGTCGGGAGCAGGTCAGCCAGGCCTCTGTGAAATCTTTGAGCAGTTCTGTGCACTTGAAATTGTCACCAGCCACAGCCACACCCACCTCCTCCCACCCTAGCAGCCCCCACTGGACCTGCTGCCTCCTCCCTCATATCCTGGAGTGGAGAACAGCTATTGCTCTGCAGCCTCGGGGCCTTTGCTATGGCCCCTTTCCATACCTCAGTTGCTCCTGTCCCCAGTGAATTCTGGCCCAGCCCTCACTGCAGCCTGGAGTGGACCTTCACCTTCTGTGAGCCTGTTCCCTGCCAGTCTCTGTGACTGCCCTCCCATCTGCACCCCAGGGCCCCCTGGCCCTGTCTGTGCTGCAGGTTCTCCTGTTGGTCACACTGGGGTTTGTGGTCGTGAAGGGGGAGGGGCTGCTGAGCACCCACAGCAGGACCACTGTGATGGAGACCATGTGTTTGTGAAGATTGGATAAGTGAAGGAGCAAAACTCCCCGAAGGTGACCGTTTCGTCACTGTTGGTCAAGGGTTCTAGAGACAGCTTCCTTGATACCATACGGGTATGGTCAGCCTGACGCTGAGCTGGTCAGTTGGTGTGTGGCCGTGTAACCGTGGATCCGTAGCCGGGCGTTGAGGCAGGTGTGCAGTGCACCGTGGAAGCTGCGGTGTGAAACACTGGAGTGTAACGTGGAGTGTGTTTTGTTGCTTCATGTTCTTTAAAAATTGTATTTTTCCACAGTTGAACTTGTATTCTCTGAGTCAGTATTTACTAGTGTCTCTGAAGTCAGCGTTTGAGTGGTATTATGTTGTAATAAATGCACTATTTTGGTCTGTTTTGTCTAGGAGGCTTATTTGAATATGTAAGTGGAGCCAACTACTTTGGGGAAACCGTGGAGTGGTGTGGCTTCGCGCTGGCCAGCTGGTCCCTCCAAGGTGGGGCGTTTGCTCTCTTCACCTTCTGTATTTTATTGGCCAGAGCAAATAATCATCACCAGTAAGTCTGAAAACACTTTTACCATCTTTCATTTGTTCTTTGATCTTAGTGTAACAATTTCAGGTTGGATTTTTGAAGTGTTATGCTCACTTGCATTGCGAGTCCCAGTGTGTGCCTTACTTTAGCTAACCACGGATAAAACCACGCACCACCACAGGAACCACGCCTGCTGTGTGGCTCAGCATGAGGAATCATCGGATCTACATCAGCGCAGCCTCTTTGAGCTTGTGGTGCTGGAATCCATGGTCAAGTTCAATGCCAAGCAGGTGATTCAGAGATCTGAGGTGGAAACACAGAATAAAATCAAGAATGTGGGCAGACAACAACATATTTACAAAAGGCTCACCTAGTCCCACAGCCTGCATTCATCAGTGGAAGGCTTGGTCCAATGTTACTAGATACACCTAGCAAAGTCTTAGAAAATGAGCAAAACAAAGCCAGGTTTCAGGTCACATCAGTGACAGGGAGGCAGCTAGCCTGGTACCCATTCTGCGGCTCTAGGGTCCCCAGGGCCAGGGACCTCCCAGGGCCCCGCTTGTGGCTGTCATCACCTCCAGGGGAACAGGCTGTTCTTTACATTTGCAATATTTGGTATGAAAAAGCAAATAAAGGTTTGTTTCTTGTAATAAAAACTAATGTAATAACACTGACACTTTTTAAGATTGGATCAGGGGAAGATTGAACAAGAGCTTGCCATGTCTGTCATAAGGAAGTTTTTTCAGAGGAAGATGGAGCAGGAGAATCTTTCTCCATATTTGAATATGAAGCCAATAGAAATGGAAAATAAATAATCCCACTCCCCAGATGAAAACCTCTTTTAATGAAAACCCAAATGTGTTCTTTTTAGAGTCCTGTGTTGCAAAAGGACTCTTTGTCATTCATTTGCTGTTTAAATTCCTATCAGTGTGAAATCATTTTTAAAATCCTAAAAATTTAATCAGTTTTTTATGTTCAGAAATGTTGGGCTCATTAGCTAAGGACAAAATAAAAGCTATCCTTTTAAAAACAATCCAGTAAGCTCAACTAATTAAACCATCAAATTGATTTCAAAAGAAAGCACTCCATGGAGCTATTTCATATACTATATTTATTGTAATGTTCTAGAAACAATATTGGATGACAATGAAATTTTAACTAAGACAACTGGTATTTAAATTCATAAATATTGTGTTGACAGTCAATTTGTAGGTCAGGAACACTGGATCAGCTGTGGTGGGTTGCTGACAAATACTCTCACTTTAGGGTGAAACTTAAGGGAATTCTAAGGAAGTGGTTATCTCTTTCCCCAGCCTGGAGCAGCTATGCTTAGCAGAGGACTGTGCAGATGGTCACCATCTGCAGCTTTCTGTGACATGGTGGGCTTGGTACAGGCATGTCATTTTGCTTGAACTTGAGGCCAGCCAGGAATAACCCTACTGAAGTTAAAAAAAAAAATGCTAATCTATGTGTTATATTTAATGTCACTTTAAAAAACTAATTTCACTTTAAAAAACTAATTCAGTACATCTTTGAGACACTATGGATGATGGGGTAATGCTTTAGAAAAAACAAGGGCAGACAACCACATATTTACAAAAGGCTCACCTAATCCCACAGCCTCCGTTCATCAGACTCAAATGCAGGAAGCATGGTTTGTGAAGCCTGAAAAACATTTGCTAATCACTCAGTGACCTCAGAGCTAAGCCCACCCAGGAAGACATGGGAGAGTAATTGGGAGCACTGAACTGGGAGTCATGAAAACAAGAACTGCTCTCAAGAATAATTTGAAGAATGATCTCAGGTTTAGCATAATCCAAAAGTAATGAGCAGTCCCCAGCCCCACAAAAAATAAATAATGTAGCGGGTGGGCATCCCTTGGTTAGGTGGCCTATTTGGGTTTCAACGCAAAGGCCATGGAACATTAGTTCAGACTGAAAAGTAATGAATTCAAGGCAGATGTCAAAGTCAGCCCTGTTCAGGGTCCTATAAGTCACCAGCTAATGCTAGGCAAAGAAAAAGAAGTCATGCTGTTTGCCACTTTTAAAAAATCTCTACATGGTCACATTTTATAAGCCTTAACATGTGACCTCACCTAACAAAGCCTGTCTTACTCCTGTTTGGTGGTTTCTGTGAAGTGCATCCCAGCTGTCTGGCAGCAAAGCCGCTGTGACCTCTCAGGGCCCCTTTGGCCTCTGGAGGAGCCTGGCCTGCGGCAGCACGGGGGAAGGAGTCTTCACAGCTTCAGCTGGGGGCAGGGATGCTGGCGTTGGTGACTTGGTGACGTGCTGCTAACACATGCTTTCCTGTTTGCCCTGCCTTTGCCCTTTGAGGGCCACTGTGTCACCTTCCGCACTCAACCCCTAGGAGAGAGGAGCTCATGGTCTTTTCTGGGAGTGCCCTGTGCAGGCATCTCATGGGGCGGCTCTTAGGAACATGGTGAATGGCCGGACCCCTGCAGACCTGTGGGGGCCTTCAGTCAATGACAGGTGCATTGTCCAGGATGTGCTTCCTCATATTTGCCACTTTGTTATTCACGGCCTCATTGAAAAGTGGACACCTCGTCATCCAGGATCATCATCAAGGTCATCCCTGACCTATACAGCTGGAAAGGCTGTTGTCACTGGGCCTCCTGCCAAGGAGGTGACACTTGTTCTATTGGGGACTGACCAACGTCTCCTTATCTTGTACCTTTTGGATACATGGACCAGCATGGGAAAGTAAATGTGGCAGTCGGACATGTTGAGGTCTATCTTCGTGGGTTACAGAGTTCAATTTGTGTAAACTGGCAGGATTCTGCTGGGTCACTTTCAGGCCATTGTCTTCATGTGTTTCTGCCACATTAACAAAAAGCTAAATGCTTCCCATTAATAGGTGGCAGAGAGACCTGTGTGGGGGAATGTGAGGTTGGGGGTGGTTCTTTGGCCCAGGCCTACTGAGCTGACCCCACTTGCTGATTTTGAGGGGAACTTGCTTGAGACCCCTCTGGCCCTGCCTGGCTCCAGTGGGATAAGCCACATTCCTCAGCAAATAGCCTGCTATGCGGGAGACACAAGGGCCCTAGAGACTCCTCGCTGATGATGAGAAGAGCGCAGTTACCCTGGAGGGGGACTTTTGTGACCTTTACACAGACCAGATTCCAGGACTCAAGCACAGCCCCTCAGCCACAAAAATCTATGAAGCAAGTTCCAGTTAGAACCCATCAGCAGGGCCAAGGTGCCCCAGAGTGGTCTTGGATCTTTAGCCTGCCATTGTGACACTAAAATCTGCCCATTGTAAGTGAAACTGCAGTGGGGACTGGGGACACCAGGGGCAGTCCAGCTGTCAGAAGTCAAGAGGTGGGCTTGGGCGGAGCTGTCTGGAAACTTCCCCAGACCCCCATGAACTGGAGGTCAGGAGAGGTGCCTCACCCGTCCTCCAGAGGACCCACCCTCCTTTCTCCCTTGAGTGTTCCTGTTTTCCTTTTCCTTTCCCTGCTGACGAACACCTCCCTGCAACTCTGCAACCTAGCGACACCATCATGATTTTGGCTGCATATGGGAGCTCCTTTCTCTGATAATGTCTCTATTTTGACGGGGGGAAAAAAACAAACATTTTTTTAGATGAGGGTCTTGCTGTTGCTGGGCTGGGCTGACTCCTGTGCTCAGGGATCCTCTTCTTCAAACTCCGAGTCCTGGGACTATGAGCACACATCACCACATCCAGCCTTACATCTGTTTATTTGCTAGCCTTCCCAACTGGCTTTTACCTCCAAATGAATGAGTGTGCCTGTGTTGATAAAATTTATATCAAAACTGGAAATATTGTTTGTTTTGAGCACAGGGTTAGTTACAGACCACACCAATTCCCTTTTCCCAGTTTATCCTGAGTCCTTCCTAAGAGCTGCCCAAGGACCTGGCACTGGCTGGCTGCCCTCTCTTCAGACCTGGTGTCAAGGTCACCTGAAGGGACAACCGAGCATCTGCCCCACTGCCCCAAGTCCGTGCAGTACCGGTATGCTGGTCAGTTCCTTCCCAGTGGAAAGATTATTGCACAAGTCACCTCTGGACCACACTTCAGATATGTCTGACTTCATGATACTGATGAAACTAATCTGTATTTGAAATGCCAAGGTCCTTATTATGATTTTTTTAAGTCTCAGTATTTCTTAATAATGAAAGATATCGCTTTTACTAGTTGTGAAACGTTTAAGGGACCAAATGATGTTCTTTTTCTTTTTTCTTATTTTAGGTGGTATCTCGAGAAGTTTGAAGATTATCCAAAGTTCAGAAAAATTATAATCCCATTTTTGCTTTGAATATGTTATCAATGAAATCATCTTCAACTGGAAGTTCTCAGTGGTGTTTTTCTGGGGACCTTATAAATGAGCATCTCCTTAATCTCCCTGCTTTTTTGTTGTTTTTATGATACGCTGGATTTTTCCTCATACCCTGGTGATCTGCCTAATTATAAGCTAATCAAACTGAAATCCAAGTTGAAGGATCGGGCTGCGCTGATAACTGCTCAGTCACCGCTTTCCCTCTTTGGGCTTAATGTGGGTAAGACCAGAACGTGCAGCTGTCTTCGATGGCTTCTCAGGGGCAGCAGGTTTCACTGTCCCTTCTGCACCTCCCTGTGTTGATCGGTTCAAGGTCAGGGGCAGTGTGGACCGACCCTCCCCAGCCCCCTCCAAGGGGAAATGCTGTCTGCACACTTAGACCTGAGAGGCCCGGGTTCCAGCTGCACAGTCACTGCCCGTGGGGACAGCGGGGAGCGAGGCCACTAAGGCTGCGCCCTGGCATCTGGCGCTTGTTCCAGCCCAGCTTCAGCAGCGCAGGGCGGTGCAGGGGCTGCTCCACAAGAGCAAATGGAGGCGAAGGTGTGCCGGGGGCAGCCACTCAGCCTCGGGCAGCCTTGCACACTGCCCAGGTGCCTCCAGCGTGCTCCATGGCTCTTTTCTTCCTTTAGTCTGGAAAGAAGAATTTTCTAAGGCCCTTTTTTTCTTTATCTCTTAATATAACACAACAGAATCTTGAAACAGTTTAATTCTGATGCGCCCAAGGATACATGGAGACAAATGACAGGAGTTAGAGGTGTCAACTGCCTAAGTACAGATTTTGAAGCAAAAGCTCCATCTCGGAGGACCTTGAATCCCTCCGCGACTTTGTGAGAATCCATGAACACAGCCGCAAGGTCCCTCCCGCTGGATGCTTCAGCCTCACTGATGCAGAGGCCAGCGGCAGCTGGAGGATGTGGTGCTGAAGAGGCTGTTTTGCCCCGTGGCTGGTCCTGGTCGGCTCAGCTGGCCTTCAGCGCGGGGCGCGCCCTTCTCGGCATCCCCACAGACAGCGCTTCCTCTGCGCGGTGGGTGGTAGTCTCTCGTGGTTCTAGAGTCGACAGAAAACTTCATGCTGTGGCTGTTTCACTTTAACAAAAAGCAGTGTTTTTGCAGGGGAAGTTTGTTAGATAAACTTCTGCCCTTTTTCTGTCCAAATAATTGTGTGAAACCCTAAAGCAATAAATATTCTGGATATCCTCAGGAACACTGGAATGTGAGCTAGTCTTCATTGATCCGAGCGGGTGTGTTCCGGGAGGTGTACCTGATGGGCGAAGGTGCTTGACTCGGACCCAGAGGTGCTCACTGTTAGGTTTACTCGGTTGGTGCTTCCCCGCCCCCTGGGTACCGGGGATGGAACCCAGAGGTGATCTACCGCTGAGCTACGTGCCCAGCCCTTTCTGCTTTTTACTTGGAGAAGGGAGCTTGCGAAGGCACCCAGCCTGGCCTGGAACTTGCAGTCCTCCTTTCTTGGCCTTCTGAGTGGTTGGGTTGACAGGTAGGCACCAGGGATGTCTCCTTTTTATTGAATGACTTGTGGGTACAAAAGTCTAGGTTAGCCACGGGTTGGATGCTGCCGCCCCCTTCCCAGACCCAGTAGGTGAATGATTAACTCAGGAAGAAATCCTGTCCTTCTTACATGTCACTGCCCGCTTTTTCCTGAAATTGTAGCTTGCATCATTAAGGAGATGAGTAAAGTGACAGCTAAAAGTCCAGTTGTGTGTGTTAGACTTGGTTGTTAGTCTGAAGGATCGCGTTAGTTTCAGCCCTGAAATCTGCCGGCTCTGTTTCCTAGTGCCAGGTGGGCCTTCCCCCTCAGTAAACTGTGGAACGGCATCATTCAACAAAAGCACGTCCTGGTGCATTTTTGTTAAGGTTTTATTTTTACACATTTGATTTTGTTTCCTGTGAATGAGAATTGATCAGTGGTATATTTTTTAGGATAAACTAAAACTAATATATTTGTTAGCTATGCTACTGAAATTATATAGTCCATTTTTCCTTTCATTTTTCTATTTCTCAGGATTTCCAGTGTTGCCGTCATAATCGTTCACAGATATATTAATCATGTTTTGCAACATATGAAACTGTTAGTTTCACTGTCATTTGCTTCTGCTAATGAAAACTTGGAGAACAATATTGAATATTAGATGGATTGTCAAGATTCTTATGTGATTTCACCAGGAGTGGCTTTTTTGAGATTACTGTTTTGAGCACTCTTATTTTAGGATGATTATAAAGTCTTGTTTCTACTTTAACCATTGGTGTCTTTGCCCTTTGTGTGTGTGTGTGTGTGTGTGTGTGTGTGTGGTGCTGGGGACCCAACCCAGGGCCTTGTGCATGCAAGGCAAGCTCTTTACCAACTGAGCTATATCCTCAGCCCTCTTTGCCTCTTCTTCTTTTTTTTTTTTTAAATAAAAAAATGCTTATTTCTCTCAAGATTTTCAGACGCCCTCCATGCAGACCAGAAATGTGGATGAGGGCTTCACAACAGTTCCAAAGGCAATGGAAAACTGGAACATGTCCATTTTGTTGTCTAATCTAGTGGATTATTTTCTCATTCGATTTTCAGAGTTGCCCTCTTCTTTTAGTCTAAGCTAACCATATTATGGCAATTGCCTCTGCGTGTCTTATTTTTTTCAGTTTCTGCTTTCTCTTCATCACGGTCCTAATTTGGGATGGGTGCTTCTGTTCCACCCAGAACTGCTCTGAAGAGGTACTGCATTTGTTCTGGTTTTGAGGTTTGTGTTTGTTTTTCTTAGGAATCACATTTTTTTTGTTTGTTTGTTTTAAGACTGTGTATTTCTTATAAGTAATACTGTATTTCCTAAAGTTCAATAATGTGCTTATAGTTCTTACCCTAAGTAATGTCCAGTTTTACTTGTTAAATTTTCTTTGAGCCACAAGTTTTCTCAGGATAATAACTTTAGAATGATTTTTTTTTAACCTTTTACCCATCTGGGGGATTTTATTTAGGTTTTTTTTGTTCTTCGTTTTCTCATGTACAAATGGAGTAGAGATTATTTTCTGTAAGTATTCTTCTTTGTGGGTTTTGAGTTTTCCTTTATTCCTTAAAGAATAGTCACATTTTCTTGAACCTATTTTCAAATGTGGGCTCAACTAACTACTAAATTGGTGATCTAGGAGAATTCACCTCTCCGATGTCAATTTTTTTATGTAATGAAAAAATTAAAACCTCTGAACAGTTTTAATGTTTAATGTCTTTAGACTAATGCCTAACATACCATAAGATCCTAATAAATGCTAATTTTATTTGTATTAAGACTATTCATATTAATTATACTCTTTTGCCAAATTAGGAATTAGCCCTGACTGTGACTTATCTATGCCATGGCATAATTTAGGTGAGAGGGTGAGGATAGTAAAAATAAAGCATTTACTATTAAAAAAACAAAACAAAACAGTAGTCACATTTTATAACAATGACACAACCCACTTAAGTGTGTACTGTTTGTTCTTGTTTATTAATACAGACATATTTTTTAAAATTCTCTACAGTCTTATTTTTCCTCCACATCTGATTTTCCTTGCATTTCTAATGCTTTCTGTTTTATGATTTGAAGCTGTTGCTTTGCAGAACTTCCTACCTGATACACTATAACTGTTATCAACTCAAAATCATCTTCCTGTTCAATGTATCGTGGCTTGAATTCTACATTGATAAGAATATTGCCATATTTCTTTTTTTGATAGACAAATTCAGCTGGTATTCATCTGATATTTCCTTGCTTGTCTTGGAAGTTTTTAAATGTCATTTGTTTTCGTTGTCTCTAATAAAATAATAGATGGGCTTTGCAATTTAATAAGTTAGCTCAAATTCTTCGGCTAATCACTATTCTTTTATCTTGTTTTCTGTTTTTTTTTTTTTTTTTTTTTTAATTATTGTTTGGAACTCCTTTTGTTTACCATCTAATAATTATTTGGAAAGGAGACTTCCTTTAAAAAAAACAAACCTCATAGTACTGGCTCTTATATTTTTAGAGGTACCCTTGAGAGCTTCCAGTTCAATATGATGAACTCAGTATATGCTCTTACTCCCCTCTCCTCATCTGACCCCTGTTAAAATCACTACAAAAGAATTAAAGAGGGGTTGTGGCTTAGTGGTAGAGCACTTGCCTGGCATGTGTGAGGCACGGGGTTCAATTCTCGGCACCACATAGAAATAAATGGATAAATAAAATAAAGGTCTATCAACAACTAGAAAAATACATATTAAAAATGCCAATGATATGTTCCTGATTTAATCATTTAAAAAAATAAGAAGAATTAAAGAGCAGGGAGACAGTCCTTAAGGAGAAAGAGAGTGCCCCCTGCCATGGAGCCTCAGCACACGTGGGCTGGGGACTGACAGAGCTGGGCAGAGGACCAGGGAGGCTGTGGGCCTGCTAGCATGGGAGGTCCTACCTGGGCTGACAGGGACGGGAGGGAAATGGCATCTCAGAACGAAGGCCAGTCGGGTGTCAGTTCCTGCTTCCCACAAAGAACACATCGTTGGGGTGAACACTAGCCGGTGCCTGGGAAAGCTGCTTGGTCCAGACCCCTAAAGAATGCAGGAAGAAAGGAAGTGGAGAGGGGAGCTGGCCACCCCCTTTGTCTCCAGCCTTCAGGTGAGGATTATTAAGGTGACTCAATAACAGCAGAGTGGACTTGGTGGTAAAGGAATGTACTCATCAAACATCTGGAAAACTCCACCTGCGTAGTGGGCAGGTACCCCAGCCTATATATCCTCCCTGCGTGGAGGCTCAGGGTGGCCCTCCATTGATTCCGCCTGCTGCCCGCCAGGAGCAGATGAGTAAGGGAACATCCAAACCCTCTCCACTGAGTGCTCTCACTTCTTTCCTAGGGGTTGGAAAACAGTATGCTGGGGCCTTTGCATCTCTGGGGTTGAACACATATGAAGCCCAGAAATTAGCTATAACCTCATTCCCAGGAGAGAGCAAGGAGGGCAGAGGCCAGCAGGTCTTTCCAGCAAGAACTAGAGGTTGGCATCCCAGGGAGAAATAGTCTCTACGCTGGTCTTCAAGGATCATGCTCCATAATGTCTGGTTACCTTCTGCCTCACACTTCAGGGAAGCTTGGGGTCACGTGGTCCCCTGCTCACCTTTTCTGGTGAATTGTGACCAAGAATCACTGGATACTTCCAAAGTTGACCTCAAGAAAGAAAAATGAATGCCTCTAGGTAAAAACATCACCTCAAGAACAAAAGGGATGTTTTTTTTAAAAAACGTTATAAATTCAGAGAGATTGAGCATCAATGGATGAGTGGCAAATTGTCACAAACCATGGGACATCATGCACTGGAGTACTACTCAGCATTGGAATTTATGTTTATAAATTATCTGATGAGGGTTTTGCATCCACAACATGCGAAGTACTCGCAAAATTCAATGACAAAAAATATGAGAACAATTCTTTAAAATGACAGAAAATCTGAACAGATACTTCACCAAAGAAAGGTACAAATGGCAAATAAGTCTGTGCCAAGATGCTTTAAGTCGTTAGGGAAATGCCAATCAAATTATGAGATTTGATCAACCTTTCTAAAAGTTAGAATCTACAAAAATTCGTACTAAAAGTAAACGGAGGCACAGTAGAAATTTAAGGAGCTTGAGGAAACAGTCCACAAATTGGGCAGCACCCAACCAGAAGTGGATCGAGAGCCCCTCAGAGGGCACCAAGGTAAAGGTGTTCATAGGACTGGCGGATGGAGAGCAAAGGACGCACCTGCTCGGCCACCGGCGTGCACTGGCCGGCTGCTTCTGAGTGGCTGGGCTTAATTCCATTCTTGCTTGACATGGGCATTCACAAGAAAAAGCTCACGTTAAGTGTCACTTACGTTTGCAAATCCAGCCGGGCTGAGGTCACTCAGGGTGGTCTGGCCGGCTTTGTCTTTCCAAGGGTTCCTCAAATCAGATCTCCACTTTAACTTACTTTACAATTGTAAATGTAATAGTTAACACCCAAATATGAACATTTCCCCCATAATACACATAGCCAAAACAAGTTACTTAACTTTCCTCTTAAGAGTTACATTGACTTCATACCCCTAACGGTGGATCTGCTCAAAGAAAGGTTCATGCCTGACTTACCCGAGAGAAGCAAACATGGCTGACTAACAGTGAACTTTTACTAGAAATTTATCCTTATAGGGGTCTCCCTTATGTACAGTTTTGCTTTCTGCAGTTT